ATCCACCTCACAAATGACCTCACTGACACCAGGCTTCCTGAGGCCAGTGGACCGAATGAGTTGGAAAAGCCTGCGAGTGTTGCCAGAGAGGGCAGCAGTCTCCATCTCTAAAGCACGCTCAGACCACCATGTCTCGCGATCCTTGCGGAGGCCTTGCTTAAGCAGCCGGTTGGTAGAACGACACCGCTCGTTGCAATCTGATTCCACGGAGATATCTTTGCGGCGTTCGAAGAGCTCCAGAGAACGAGCAGAGATCCAAGACTTCAAAGGGCGTCGAGTTAGACCGCAGTATGACTGTCCGGAAATGGTCAGCGCTTTCCGTATACAAGTCCAGTGTTGTTCCACTTCTCGCGGTGGATTGCAACTGAGTGCATATGCCAGTGAAGACTGATAGCTCTCCTGGACAGAGGAATCAGTTAATCTGTTTACATCAATCTTGCGGTGCTTCGTGTTTCGGGATCCTCCAAAACACATACAGATTTTCGCGCAGACCAGAGCATGATCTGAATCAACGAAAGTGGACCAAAAGGACCTGCAGTCCAGTACGCTGCCGCGCCATCTGAAGCTAATCGCAATGTGATCAATTTGAGACCAAGGTTGTGTTGGCGAAGGGGGACGCCAAGTTGCGGAACGTTTCTTCGTACGCCTGAAGCTAGTGCTCGAGAGAAACAGACGGTTGTCCTCGCACAATGTGAGAAGTCTCTCTCCGTTATCAGAGCGGTTCTCATCGAGCGAGTGATGACCACCAAGGTGGCGTTCGTATGGTAACAGGCGGCCAACCCGTGCATTAAAATCCCCAGCAAGGATAACGACATCCGACTTTTTAGCATTAGTCAAGAGCTGTTGTAGATCTCGGTAGAAATCGTCCTTGACCGAGTCGCTACTGCAGTCAGTTGGAGCGTATACAGAGATCACAAACAAGTTGCGTCTCTCTTCGCGTTGCCTGTTGATTCTACATGAACCCCGAAGCCGAACTGCACATAGTCGGCTGTTAATCGGGAACCAGTCCAGTAGTGCCGCCTCGGCCTTGCCACTCAGTGCTATACCTACACCAGCCAAACCCGCTGAGCTTGCTTCTGGATCTCCAGAAAGACGCAGGTGATATCTGGCTTCGTGGTCAGTGGGGGATGTCAATGTAAGCACAGTGCTGGGATCTTGCAATCGGGTTTCTGAAAGACAGCAGACATCAATGTCTAGGGAATCTAGGGTGCGCGCTAGACCGGAGGGTTTCGATGTTGCTTTCTCCATTTGACCTATGGTTTCTAAACCTACTTCATTAACCCCCTCATCGTAATTTTCCAGGGTATATTAAACCATCCTTAGACCATGGCAACATGCGTTTCGGGTTCTGAGAAGTTCCGCATGAATTACGGTTGCAGTGCACCGAATCGCTGGTGACTACCACGTCACATAGCAGCAAGTGAGTCGAGCGGCGTCATCTTGACTTTTCTGTTCAACGAAATGATGGTGTACACAGTTCACGGAGGTAACGGTTTTGTTACAATATCCTCTAACCCATTCATAACTTCTGTCAGTAACTTCCAAGTCACTGGTTCCATTGTCTAGCAGTATCTTCGTTAGTCATACGTTGAACTTGGCCATCCGGAAATGCCAATGTAACAGTCACGATCCTGCTAGAATAGCTTTCATTCTTGGCTCTAGAGCTGTATTCTTACCTGTGTATTGGAGTCCGGAGAACAGTCGTCTCTGTGGAGACCGTTGAATGGAACCAACCACAGTATTCGTACGGTGTGACACAGTCTATGCTGTACCTCGTCTCCACTTGTGTTCCGCTTGACTGCAATCCTAATGCTGTGTCACGAAGGTAGCACGCTACTTCACAGTGCTATCAGCTCGGTTGCAGGCCTACTTGCAATTGATGTGGGTGCGCAGATAAGTCATTGGAACTATTCCTATCGCCAGTCAGTTGGACGTTTGGGCTTGTTCCCTAGCACCTAGGCAGTTGCGAGCGTTGACTGCGACTTTGCAACGGGAATCCAACGTTTTCGAGCAATACTGTTTTCCGGCACGATGGACGCAGATGCACCATTTTTCATCCTCCTGCATCTGGCGAGCAATGAATTCAAATAGACTTGCCCCCCTAAATTTCAGGTGCTATGAATACCGCACTTTTCTCGACCCCCTGACTCGGATCATTTACATGATCCCTGTCCATTTTCCTTGAACTTTACGAAGAAGTACAGCAAACAATCCTCTCGATTTGGGCGACCGCGGAGCTCTCAGTTCAGGATTGACAAATCAGTCAAGTTGACCTGCACACTAAACTCTTCTTAATTTGCCTTGAGCACATCACGTTTCAATGGGATAAAATCTTGACCGATAGCATGGCATGACAGCTTCTGCTTGCGGCATTATCAGTCCTCATCGCACTGGTTATTGTGTGTCCGAAAATCCTTTGCTGTTACTAATATTCATGTTACGGATATCTGCTAACGACGAGAGCAGTGCGATCCAGCAGGCTCTCTGACGCTAGCTAAAACGTAGACTGATAGCTGATGACAAAATTCGGTGGACTTGTGAGGCTCATGAATTTGGAAAGACAGAGGCGACTGGTAATTTCCGCAAATTCTTACAACCGATTCGGGACACTACTCTAAAGAAATCTGTCAGCGGGGTGCTTTGTGACAGCATGTGAACTCTATACGATTATTAAGGGTAACCGTATGTTTCGTGGAGTTCTGCGTTTTCCCGAACAATAGACATACGTCTGAGTTGCTATTTGCTAAAATGGCACACATTGCACTATGCTTGATTGATTGGTACTTCTCATATGAAGCTTTAGTCCGGAACGTAACCACGGCATCTAGCCACTGCGTTCCAGATCCTCTAGCTCTCTCGCTATTTTCTGACGGTGATGATATCTGCAAAGAATTATGTCGCCCGAACAAGTACATAGGGAAATGATTGTCCAAACCCATTGAAACGAATTGTTCGTAGTGGTACTACTCGTAAAGGTTGCTCGCGGCGTTTGTGCTAACCATGAAGTTGCCAGCATGATTTCTGTGGTCTTTACTGCTCTCTATTATCGTCCCCTATCTCACTACGGACCGACAAGCCTGTAGAAAAGAAGTACGGATAAGTTTTCTACTAATGCTGAGCCACATATTACTACCCTGTGGTAAGTACCTTATCCGTTCCACACGTGGTGCATGCTGACTGGTACTTCCTTTCCTGTCTCCAGTAGTGCATGCCACTGGGACGATCACTCACTTCCATGTGTTTCTGTAGAATATGCGAACATTTTGCGTTTCTTGTACTTAGACACGGCAAATCGAGTCGCAACCAATGGTGAATTATCGGATGGTTTTCCGATAACAGTGTTCACCAGAGTTGTCCCACTTCGGCATTTGTCATGGGCTCAATCATAGAGTGCTGATTAGGAATAAACCGATAGATTTGGATTGTGCCAACGACATGGTGTTGCTGCTTCACAATTGCGATGTGACACCATACCACCTGAGTTATCTCAACAGCGGTCTCTCTGCCTTTTATTTACGCTTCGAAACTTCGGAGTTCAGTTCTCATATTCCACCATCGTTTAGCTTTGAGGACGAGGAACTGTATAGGCATCTGCGCTGTCAGCAATAGGCATATAACGGGTGAGATCAGTTCACCCATTGCAGAGACTGAAACGAACTCCAAGGACGAACTTGATCTTAAAAACCGCGTATGCTGGACAACAATGAGGCTTCACCCCTTCGATCCGAAGTTCTCAGCCGCCTTCGAATATTCGACCGTCACCATTCATGGAGCATGGATTGCGTTGGTTGTCGCCAGCGTGTTCACACCGATGAGATTCTAGGCGGTGGTGGTCAAGTCAATTCGTTAGATCGGTGTACATCACTGAATAGGCTGTTTTGCATTGAACGCGTTCTACGAGTGCCGTCCACAGGCAAACGAGGTCTTCTTTGTTTTCTGGGATGGCATCAGGCTCGACGTGTGCACTGACTGACTTTTCGATGTTGCTCCGACTCACTCTCCAGGATGATACCTACATCACACCCTGGTCATTAACGAAAACCTTTCGCAACGTGGCTGGTAAACAGCACCCGCAACCCTTTTTGCTATCATCTCCTATTCAAACAATTTCTTTTATTTGAGACTTTTACTGCGTTGTCCTTGATGTAAGGTTACTTTTAACGCACGATTGTGAAGGTACAAAGAAGCCTTTTTGCTAAGAAGTACTACTCGCGCAACTGCCCGTTCCTTTTAAGCGTGTGCTGTTACCGGTATAGCATTTTGACTAGGTGTTTTTGTTTAGGTTGCTTGGATTTTGTACTAGGTTCCTCCTTCTCTTGCCATTCCGCATTAGCGCCTTCGAATCGCCCACGGTTTTCATCGCAAACACCATCGACACCTTACTTGAGATTCATACGCCTCGTGTAGTACTACACCGATTTGCATATTCGGTGTATTACTCCTTTGCTAGATGACATGCGTCGTCTAACACCTCATTCGTTTATTTCCTTTATAAACTCCCTTTGGGATGCAATACCTCTCTCGGATTCTAATGTTTCAGTTCTTTTCTATAACAGCGTCGCTTGTGCAGTTTCCACCACAGAGTGTAGCTTATGAACTTGCGTTCCAGCTCTGTCTTGCATCGTCTTTCGTACGTCTGCTGGTGAACCAGACCAGTGGACTAGTCAACACATAATACCCTCACTATTAAGACTGTTGGTTGAGCCCTGTTACATGGATCTCTTACCGCTTGTGAAAATTTACTTTTCAATCTTGTTTGCTAACAATGCTTTATCTTCAAGTTATCACTGTACTTTTTCTGGTTTCAACATTACGATGTATGGGGCTCAGTTGTTTACTCGCTATCTGTGCTCCACGTGTGCTTGTCCCTTTTTCGTTTAAATCTGGCCACCATAGCACTATCCTTGCTTTCGTACAACCGTTTGCGCTTAACACTAGGATACCGTGGTACGTTTTCTTCATCTTAACGATTAGTTCCACTCTCTTTCCTCTGGGTGTAGGCAAAGCGAAAGATTTCCGGTTCAGCTTCTCGACTGGGTGCAAAGGTTGCCTACCATCATTGCACACTCTTGTGCGAAACAAACCTTAACAATTTGTCTGAGGTGCTCTCGCCGACTTTCGTGAGTTTGGTACACCCACTTTAAATTATACCCGACGGGCATTTCATTCCTTCGACTACTGTGTACATTTTGTTTCTAACAGTTTATGTTTCTTTGACTACAGTTGTGTGGACATGGTTACTCGTAAGGTAGGCACTTTAGTGAAGCTCATCTGAAAAAATTGATTTAACCATCGGAAGACTACACACAATACGTCATTTCCTAGGACAATCTGGTTCGGTCACGCAACAGTGTAACCGTCGAAACTAAACACTGTGGCTTATGTAATTGTAATCTCCGAACGCCCCGTTAGCCTAATGCTCAACTGCTGCATCGCATGATTTATATGCACATTTTTCGAACCTGTGTCGGCTTCGCTAGCCATTTTCCCTTTAAACCATTAGTTACATAACCCATATTTTCGGGGAATTCGATCTTCAAATAGATGCACTATCCATGTGATACTGACAGTTAACGACGGTCACTAGATATATCGTGTATGCTAGCTGACAGCTGACTGTTTTCAGTGCATTCCGACGCAGCTTCTTCCGCTGGAATTTCTATAGTTGTGAACCAGCCCTCAATTTGATCGATGCATTCACGTACTCTGGTCTCTGTAAATGATACTGTCTCAGATTTACCATTTTTGATTACACGGTTATCATTGTCCAGTGGTCATCCAACACAGGCGGAGGACTGAAAATGACAGAGTCCATCAGTACCAACGGAGCAGCGGTACTTTATGTCACTACAACAACCACAGATTAACAGAGACTAATCTTCGGAAGTATGAAGCAGGGGAACGAAAGGCGAAACGTTATGCAAATATACTGAGTCAACACGTGCACTTTTCCAAGACCATCCATCCGCGAATGGTTGCCTATACTATAAAAATAAACCAGTCTCAGTGAGACAGTTTCCATGCACCTTCCACTATTCCGTCTCATTATCAGCTTTATTCCACAGATAATATAGCATCAGACACACTTTAAGCAGTTTGCTTGACTGGAAGACGACGGCAAATGCTCCACTCGTGCCCACTGGGATCCACGCCTTGTAAGGTTTTGCACGAAATATCGGTTTGGTCACGTGAACCTTGGTATCGCAAGCGAGATGAACCAGCAGTATCGGTTTTGTTGGTTTCAAACTTCATTTTATCCTATCGGATCAGTGAACGTTCTGTTGAACATTTCGCTGTCCTAGATTCGTTACGGAATACGAAACAACGCAATACTCGCTTGCGTACACCATCATTGCGGACACGGACACGGTGGTGCCAATCGACACAACTGCTGCTGTGATGGTCAAGGGCCCGGAAGCCCTTGATATATTACCGTAGATGAGAATGGCTATCACTGTGGCCGGCCCGTAACCTTTAGGATCGCCATCCTGCCTTGTAATCCGGGAGCGCCTGCGTACGGGACCGGGCGACCTTCGCAGTATCCTTAGTCCACGTGCGACTGGTGGTGGTTGCGTAACAGCGAAGCGTCATTACTGCGTACCGGCGCACTGCTGATGTCTTTTGTATATAGAATCGTATAAACCAACAGAAATCCGTTTTCGGCACCGAGTTATGTAGGATTCATGGAAGCAATTAATGCTTTCGGAAAGCCTCAGCGAATCACAACAGTCGATGCTCACGAAGCTGACAAATGAGAGAATCGGCCAACTTTTTTCGGTTTCTCGTCTTCAGGCCAGTCAGTTGTTGCGCAACAGTACTTTGCACTACGATGGTACACAGTGCATAACAAAGAGTGGAATAACATTAGAGAACTAACCTAAGGTTCACCTTGTTGCCGAATCATATAATCATGCCATTCACACAATCCAACTCGTTAACTTGTCCCCGCACAGTGCTGCTACGTTCGTCCAGAGTCTTTCAGAGTGCATTCCTTGATGGAATCCACGTTAAGATCGAGTCGAATTACAGAAGTGACAGTTTGCCGTAAACCTTGAAGCTATCTACTGTTCGAGCACAAAGCACATAAAATGTTCACCTTATGTTGTAAGAACATATTTGCTGGAACTTGTGTTTAAATGAGCTGAAAACGCCGTTTGTAGGGCTTCACGATGCAATGGTACATTATTCGCCTAGCGTGGTGTCAAAGCGTGTTTCATACATATCCTCCTCGGTCGAAAATTCGCCTTTACATTTTTCTTTTTCCACAACAGCTCGATAAGTTGGAATGCGGGGAAATAACACTGTAACCGCTAGTGTGTCGCTGTTTTCCATATGGTTGGTGGTAGTTTGCTATTGGTCCTTGTAATTGCTTTTCCTGGAACCGAGCTTTTCCCTTTGATAGATGCGGTTTTTCTCTCCATGCCTAGAGGAACGGATCAGCTGTTTCATCACAGAAGACACCCTCACCGGTTTGGAATACGATAATGATGAAAAAACCTAGATCACTTGCATTGAGGCTGCTCGGTATCGCGACGCCCATTTTAGGCGGGAGATTCAGATATGGCCCTTACTAGTCTGTCCTGCGCAACCAAAGCGAAAAACATTTCAAGGAAAGGGAAGGGTAGTTGAACTGTCTCTGAAGTCTTTTTGCCCAGAGTCAGACTACGCCTTTTATTGGGCATGTGGGTCATGATACATTCCCCCGGTTTTTTCACTGACTACCGATGTCCTCAGGTCAGCTCACTTAAGTTCAGTTAAACAACTACGGTCCAGATACGGATACCGAAGTGCGGTGGATCCATTTGCCACGACTCTCGTCGCCAGGATAAAAAAGAGTTACAATAGTGAAAAACGAGATTGAACGCAAACAGAATACAATGAAATTGGAGTTAAGAATTAATTACGTACAACTAATCGGGATGGAATGAAAATTAACAACAGGATGCAAAAAATCGAATACAAGGACCCTACTGACCGCACGACCGCATCATGTCCGATAGGGTTCCCAGCCACTGATGTGGACAATCCAAAGGCGCCAATCCACGAAGACGGCACGCACAAATCTGACCAAGTCTGTCAGTTGTTTTTTCATGCCTTTATGTCGCGTCGTCGATTGGCCACTTTGCAATTTCGTCCAGATAGTTGCAACGACGGTATATAATGCCCGCGTAGGAATATAGTCCACGGATATGGCTTAGCCAGCGTAGGGGGTTGAGCTATACCAATCACTCTAGGGATGTGAACAAGACTCCATAAGTACCGGTGAACAAGCTTGTCCAATCGTTTAATATCTTTATAATAAAATGGCCAGGTCTCTGATTCAAACAGTAACATCGACCTTGTCGTAGCGCTGTACATTCATTGACAGGCTGACATCCCGCTGTCCCCATAGATGGTTGAGCCTTTGGAAAGCCCCACAGACCTTGCTGTCAAGCGAAGTGACCTCAGTGATGCGATCATCAGAGGTGGTGACACAGCCACCGTGGTAAGAGAACCGATCCACCATTTCCAGCGGCTGTTCGCTGATAGTTATAACCGATGGCGCGTTCGATCCAGTTCCGCAACAGTACTGTGCCATTTGAGGCTGCAAAGCACATACTGACGCGCGCTCGGCGTCAGGAGTCACGGTAGAGTGACTTCAAAATAAAAAAGGAGTCTCCGGGGCACGCCCCCGTTTAAGTAATACCATTGGTTGGAAAGAACAGCAGCTTTTAAGTGAAATACAACTACAATAGTCGTTCGCATGTACTTGTGTCTCTGCGCTAACACCTGACGAAGAGTATGTATGCAGTCAGTGTAACTACAACCAGCGCGAAAGCATGCCTGATTTTCAGTTATTTGGTTATCACGGTGACCAGTAAATCGTCGAAGAATGATACTATTCAACCATCACTGCCTTTGTAGCATGGCTCCTGTCTGATGGGAATACCGTGTGAGCAATGAGCATGTTCAGCGTCGCGTATTTGGTTCAAGAAGAATGAATGAACCGCTCAGCACCACTATATATCACGCACCAGGCTCCGATGGCTGGGCTACGTGTTACGCACGCCAGCATACCGATTGCTGCCTCGCGCGTTGTTTGCTCGCCTGCGGTCTGGATGGAAGAAGAGGAGGGGAGGCTAAGCGATGACTTGTTCTAGAGGAATGAAATCCTTCACTTCGAACTTGGCGTCGGTTGGTGTTTCCCGACTACCGGGCTGGGGTCCGAAGAACGATGAACACGTTTGTTTGGATACACTAGCTGACATGGCGAGGAGCCGACCTCAATGTCGTTTATGTTGTGAGTCTCTTTACCCTCCTTACCCTCCCATTAGCTTCCGTCTCCAACAACGACCTCAGTCCAGTGCATAATGTGATATTGGCATTATACTACTTTCCAGCTTATGTACTCTGAGATGTTTAATTTCTTCTCCTTTTTGTATTGCGGCATATTAGCTGAGCTGTGTTTCTCACCGTCAGCCAACGTGTATTGATGATGAGGATGATGATAACCGTTTGGAAGCAGTGGAAAGAAGGCTAATGCCTACATGGTTTTCACACAAAGTCCGTTGACTCTTTTCCATATGGGCACGACCGTAGACAGATGCCAGTCTGAAAGCACCTCTTCAGTGTCCCGAATCGTGTTAACTAGAGCAGCAAGTACGGTCTGCTAAGGGTAACCTCCACCTTTCAGCAAATATATTGGAAGATCATTTCGTTCAGGAGTCTTGCTTCGTTTCAACACAATAAGCTCGTGTTGAATTTCTTCGAAACTTGGAGGTGCGACGTGTTTCCCGCTTCAGGTCAGGTGATTCAGTAAACGAGCAGGCCTGTTGAACTACTCTTCAGAATGTTCCCCCCAACGGGTCAGTCGACGCGACTGAGAATGGATCAATTGGCCATCTTTCTCAGCCATTGTCTCATTGAGCGTTTTCTTTGACACGTATTCTTGATGGTCTGGGACATTAGCACTGGTTTTCTCCATCTTGCGGGTCCTTGTCGCCCATCACCGTTTTCTGTCAACTCGAACACTTTTGTCAGTCGCCGTTTCAAGGCGTTACGGATACGCTGAAATTACGTGCCCATTGGAACCTGTTTCCGTGCTTCTATCAAACTGATCGATGTCTCAGAGGTCCATTTA